TTGTCACTTTGGCGGAGTGGTCTAACGCGGTGGATTCAAGTCCCACTACCTCAGGGTGCCTGGGTTCGAATCCCAGAGGTGACAGCTTCTTTTGCCGCTTCGTTTGCCTTTTCAACGCCTCTTTTGTGCCAATAGATTGTGTGCTTCGGCGAGCTCCATTTTGTTGAGACTGGCCGGCCTCGTCTTGCTTTCCCACCGCTACGCCGATAGTTTCTCGCTGCTTCGTTGCTTCGTTGCTTTGTTGATTGTTTTGTGTCTGGCTGCCTCAGCAGCTGCCTGGCTGTGGTTGCTGTCCAAGGCAGCTTCCCTCAAGCACCAGGCACCTCAGCTCCGTTACCGTTGCCGTCGCTGTCTTTAAACCTCTGATTCTAGTCTGGACTGTCGTCCGCGTTCAGCCAGCATCCTTCTCTCCTCTCGTTAGCATCAGCTTGTACACTATCCGCGCACTCACAGAATGTGCATCGTTAAATGTGGTGTGTACGTTTAAGAACAATATCTTCGTTTTATAACGATCAATTATGAATAATTTAAAGATCCCATTCAAGTGGGAGTTCTAAGTTAGGCACTTGACCTCCTGGCAAGCATCCTAGCGGTGTAACTTGCCAGTGTGCTGCTTTTACTTTTGTCCATCCTTTGATTGCTGTGGATTGTATGTCTGCCTCCGTGTCTATATCCATCATTTCACCACTATTTGAGTTGAGAGTTGATGACACATATAATTGTGTTTCAGATTGTCTCGCTCTTGCATGTGCTTCATTACGAGTGAGTGCTTCTTTTAGTGCCGATACATTATCGACAACTGTGTCAGTATCAACATCCACAGATTGTCTCATGAACGCCACGAACGGCGCAATGGTAGGCTTAAGCGATGGATTCGACTTGGCAATCGCTTCAACAACATGACTTGTCAGTTTATTTGGTCTCCGCAAGTATGCACCCAAAATGAGTTTAACACTATCGGTTTCCATTGATAACTTCGCCAACTCACATGCCCATGCTGTCAATGTAGCGCAGTAACTCTTGCTTGTTGACAATGCCTTCAATTCAGCTGTCAATTCCTCTTGTTCATTTCCACCAATGACTTGGGCTATTTCCTGCAGAAAATCAGAGGTGAACGATGGTGCAACCTGCTCAAATCGATTCAGCAATACCGACCATACTTCGCTCGATGACTCTGGTAGACTGACATCTGCCATATTTGCACGCTTCTTTTTGCTCTCAGGAACTAACATTCCATTTTCCAACAATATAGATATGGCTGCCTTTGATGGCTCTTCAACACTGAACGAGACTGAAACTCCTTCACTGTTCATGCCACTACCAGTTGCTATGAACTGAGCGAGCTGATGAACTAACTTATCGGGTTCACCCACAGCTTGTCTTCTGTTTCGATTTCCATTCTTCTCAGCTTCCTTCAAACCAGTAAATTGATCCTTTGTCATTGCCACTTTCCCAGACTGACTCAAATCGTATCTAACCCTTTTCAGCTCCATGTCAATATTGAGTAAATTTGTAGCTGCCTGTTTATAGTTCAACAGCATGCTTCTCAGTGCATCTCTTGCATCAACATCTGCCGGACTGCTTTCCTCGTCTTCATTCATATCAGTGTTATTTGATGTTGATGATGAAATGCCATTTTGCAATTCCCAGTAGCTGTTTCTTAGCCAGTTAAGTGCCTGGGCAGCTGCAGCTCTCAATATAGTTAAAGAGGGCATCTTGCCATGAGTACCTTCGTGACGAACGTCCACAAACCACGCAGGCATTCCCAATCTTTCCGCCAATTTTGAAGTGTTATCTGCAAATTTACCTCTTTGCTCATTATCTACAAATCCATTAAAGAATCTGATAAATGCCATCGAAAACATGTGTCGACGCTCATCAATCGACAGCTGTTGTTGTTGTTGTTGTTGGCTACGTTGATTCATTGAACCACTCAACTGCATCGTTTGATGACGCTGTTGCTGCTGATGCTGATAGTCTACTGTGTAATCGCCAATGTCATCACCGCTATCCATCTCATTGAGACCACTGTTATCGCCTTCATCATTATCGCCTTGTGGAGATGAATGCATCGAGTCACGCAGTAAAACTTCGACAAACAATGCAGTTGAGTCAACCGACTGAGGAACTCTGCCACGAGCAGACCAAGCTTTTACTCGTTTGACTCCAAGCTGACACAGCTGCGGTTCTTCGACGAGATCACTGTACAACCATCGATAGACTTGTTCAAACTCTTCATGGCTTGTCCACGGCACAACTCGAGGCACTCTAATCAGCATCTGCTTTCCAACTTTTCACTTTCTACTTTTCTGCCTTTTCTGTTTTAGTTTTTTTTTTTTTGGAATTGCTTGTTAAAAGAACAAAAGCAGAAACACGTTCAACTCTCTCGAAATGAAGCCAAACGCGTCGTCGCTGTCATCGTTGTCATCGTCGAAGGCAGCTGCAGCAGGTGCGGCGGCAGCAGCTGGATCTAGCTCACCAGAAGCCAAGGAACGCGACTCTGTTGCACTCCATTTGAGTCCAATTGAAATGTTCAATGCAGCCATGACCCAATTCAACTCGTTTCAAACTCAACAACAGCAACAGCAGCAACAACAACAGTCCTCGACCAAGAATGATGACAATAATGGTTCTGAAGAGGCAGATGACAGCATTGAAGAACAGCATGACATTGTGCAGCAGATGCTAGAAGAGGCTCGCGAGCGTCTCAGTGAGATTCCGAAGGAGGAGAAGACGACTGAGACTGAATTGGCACATGCGCGCGCTACATTGGCATTGGCAACTTTGCTCAACTATGGTCCGATGTACGCTGAGGCTGAGACTGCATTGAATGCTATTGTGGCTAAAGTTGATGATGAACAGCAAAAACAGCAGGTGACGCGCGACAAGGCAGTTGCAATGCTTGGCAAACTCTGTGCTGACCACAGCGAAGAGAAGGCACATCCAGATCCACTTGACAGTGAGATTGCATCTGATGGGAAATTGTCCAATGAACTTAAAGGTCGTGTTGAAAAGATTGAGTGTGAGCTGAATGGCTCGCTTGCCTCGACAGACGATGCATCAGAGTGGATGAAGTTGTCACAGTTGATATCTGGATTTGAAGGACGTAAAACTGCGCGCGGTTTACTCGGTATGCATCTTGGCTTGCTTTCGGCCAAATGTGCACAAAAGGCACTTGATATCATGTCAGCTTCCTCTGATAATGTTAATGTACGTGAGAAGGATAAGGCATCCATTGCAGTGGTTACTGGTCGCTATCCATGGCTGAATCGTAGAGTTGGTGAAATCTCAGAAGAAGCGATAAATGAAATGGGTAACCAACAGATACCAGATAATGATCTGAATGATGCTGAAGATGAAGATGATGAGTATGAGGATATTCCAAAGTTGCCAGATGTGGTTTTGCCAGATGACATTGAGTCAGAAATAGATAGATGTGAAGAAACACTGGATGATATTATTGAACGAAACATTACTCCAACCTCATCAGCATCAACTGAGCAACAACAACAACCGCCTCCAGCCAAGCGTGCTCAGTCATCAAAGGGTAAGGGCAAGGGTAAGCAAAAGAGCAAATCTGACAAGCCAATGTATGATGATGAGACTGCAACACTGTTGGTTGAGGCATTATCTTTACGCTCTCAGTTCCATCTTATGCGCACAAACATCACTGGAGATGACGACGAGTCAATGGAAGAGTATGACGCTGCGGTGCAATCACTCAAACATGCTGCATTGATCAAGCCATCTGCTGATATTCTTGCCTGGCTCGCTGATTTGGATGTCAACACAGACGAGATTGATAGCATCGATACAACCATCCCAAGTAAACGCAAGAGCCTAAACTAAAATTAAAAACCAAAACTAGACTAAACAAAACAATACAAGACAAGACTAAACAAAACAAAACACATTGCATATATGCACAATCATAAATTGATATCTTCGCTCCAAAGTAAAAATTAAAAATAAACGAGAGTTAGAAGAGGAGGTAAAAAAGGAATTGAATGATTCAAGGCAGTCTTAGAATCCAGCGTTGAGCAGGTGGTTAACGACGCCGCCAACGACACCGATGGCCTGCTGCACACTAGCACCCTCAAGGTACGTGGCAATAACCATGGTGGTGTTAGACTTGAAGATGACGACACCGACTGGCTTAACCTCACCGCTGGCTGGCTGAGCAGATGCTGGATCCTCAGGATCAGCCTTTGGGTAAATGAAGGTGCCGGCCATGCCATCTGCCACATCGAGACCAACCTTCAGGAACTTCTTGCCGCCAATGTACAGACCGCGTCCAACGTATGCATGTGGGTTGGCAAGAGCATCCTTCAGAGTGTTGAATTCGTCGGTCGAAGCCAGGCCAAACTCTGGTGCAGAGGAAACGTATTTAGCACCCTGGTCAAGACCGAAGATGCCAGCCTGGTGGATAATGTTGAGAGGAGCACCCTGCGCGTTGGTGAACAGTGGCGCGATCCAAGCTTCCCATCCCGACATTGCTGCAGATGTATGAGGTAGTTGTTGCTGTGGTGGTTGCTGTGGTGGTGGTGGTGGTGGTGGTTAGGTAGCTGGTGCTGCTGGATAGGAGGAGTTGCTGATGGACAACGGGTTCAAAGATGATGTGGTAGCAAAGAGAGACAACCTTACGAGAGGTACGACAACCGCGACGCGTGGACGCGACCAAGCACGCCAAGTGTCCATTGTCCGCCTCCTTTTAAAGCACAACCACTCAAAAAAATTCCCGGCCAAAAAAAAACTAGGCAGACAAGCAGGCAGACGGGCAGACATGCTTACAACCGAGCGACACGGCCAAAGCAACGGCAATAGCAGCAATAGCAGCAGCGGCAATAGCAACAGCGGTAGCGGTGGTGCATCGTTTGCTGACCTCGCCACTGGCACAAACACTCGCCAAGTCACAGCGAAGGCAGATGAGAGCGACAAGGCAGCCAAATCCGCAGATTCCTCAGCACTCGCCGAAGAGCAACAACAGAAGCAACTCCAACAGCGCCACCCGTTGGCCCGAATGGGAGACTACTCTCCACAGGCCCGCATTGCCATCTTGTTCCATCTCAGCTTGTCGGTTGGAA